GCCTGAAAGACCAACCCTTAAGGATTAAAAAAAAACCCCCAAATTTAAAAAAATCCAAAACCCCCCCCCCCCCCCCCCCCAAAAAAAAAAAAAAAAGGAAAGGCAAGATTTAACAAAGTAAATACAGTGGACATGGCTGCACAAAGTCCAGTTGCTTCAAGACCTTCTAGCTGTGTCATTTTAAAGGAGCTTTGTTGGATTATATATTGAGTACCTGATCTTGTCACTGTATAGGCTCAGTAAGTGCCAAAGCCTTGTCCTCCCTGTCGCTGAGGCATAGCTGTGATGCTTCTCTATTCTTGATTTCATCCTTACACATATATTCTACAACAAACTTAATGCTGTTCTTCCAGCGTTTACTATTTTTCTCACTGTTTCTGAAATCCTAATGCTGATCTGTTTAGCATCAGGTATGGGAGAGCGTTTTGCAGTGTTGGTTTTTTCCTTTGTTCAGTTCTTTGTGTAAGAGGCTGTCTCTCCGTTACACTTGTATTCAGAGCTGGAGGGCTTCGTCCTGTATATTATTGCAAAGCTTCAACTAATAATGCAGGGTGCTCTGTGAGGCATAAAGAACTTTTGAGAAATGGGTCTGCTTAGGCTTTTCCATGGGTGCGCAAAGGGCATTTTAGACAGACTGTTGTCTTCAGCTTTCCACCTGCTTTGACTTGGGAACGTGGCCTGTGTAAATTGCAAAAAATAAGTATGTTCCTTCATACTGTACCCTTTTCTATATTTTTGCAATGTATAAAGAGCTGCAGAGATAAAGAAAGCTTCCAGGAAGGTGATCCTAACTATATATAGTTTGCACATGAGAGTAGATTAGATAATGACTGTTTACTTCCTTAGCACTTTGAATCTAAGAATATTCCCCCTAAGCAAATTGGAAGACTTATCTTACATACTCCCCAGAGAGAGCCCTCGCAGAGATCAGCTGCTCGCCTCTACCAAGCATGCATTGCATCTTTTTGTGTTGCTGCCAGGTATATAGAGTTCTGGAGAGAGAATCCTTGGTTGTGTAATTGCAAAGCTAGCTACTATAGCAGCTTTCCCTAGTGTGCCTGCTGTCTTTGCACCATGGCATAACGCAGTGGTACTGAAGAAGTGTTTTCTGAAGAGCTGAGACAGGGAGGAGGTGTAATTTCTCTCTATAGTTGTCCTAGGTATTCCTGATGTCCTGACGCTTTTCCTGACTAGAGCTAAGATTTTTAACAGCTGAGAAAGTTTACCAACATTTTTGAGGTTGGTGTTTTTCATGCCTTGTAAAGCTCTTTGTAATTCAGACAACTTGCTTAGGTTATCTGACTTTTCTAAGCTAGTATCCAGTACCTATCTGAAGTGCACCAGCTGCTTTGGAACAGTGACACCACTCTTCATAGTCACAGTGTGTTGCCCATACTCATACAGTTTGCTTCTACATAGACACTTTCTGCTCTGTAAGCGTGGAGTTTTGTGCAGAATCTTGTGTTCACACAGTCTACAGGAGACTCGGGGACATCCTGAAAACACGGTTCACTAACACTCTGAGGTTCAGCACAGTAGTCAGCCTGTCCCATGGGCTTATGTCTGTGTCATCCAAATGGAGCTGTACTGGTTAATAGCATCTCTACTGAGTAGTCTGAAAAGCTTTCCCTAGCATATATGTATGTGTGCTTCAGCTCACTTCTCTCTTTTTAATGCACAGTGAGCTCTGTCACCACTCTCCCATGGTCCTGGCTTCAGGTGCCTCTGCTGAATCACCAAAGGTGAGATGGAAAGGGGGCTCGCGCTAAAGGATCCTACAGCCCTCCCAGAGGAAAAGGGGACACATAGTGGGTAGCAGATGTTCTGACCTTAAAACAGCTTTGACGGGGGAAGTTAGGCAGTACTCCAGGCCCCAGAGAGTTGTAGAGACTAGAGATTTGGCAGGCAGCCTAAAAACTGTTGCATCTGGATTGTCAGGCTCTTTAAACCCCATTTATCTTTGTTTTATGTGCCAATGATTTTTGTCCAGGCATTTCACTGGAAGGAGAGCTAGCAGAAGGAATGGAAGTGGAAGCAAAAGCGCAGTTTTCAGAGTCCCAGAAGCTGCACCAGAAAGAAAATACTGTGATTATTGTCAAACTGAAAGCTGGTAAAAGACCTAGATGTTCTTTTCGGTGCTAGTCAAGTTGGATGTTAGCCTTATTGCCACTTCTTTTGGTTGCAGTTCTGCAGTATATCAGGCTCTTAACTTTTAGGACGTATTTTTATGTTGTGGGTTTTGGTATCAAAAGCTGAAAACAGGGAATGCAGTGAGGAGGAAAATAATGCATTTTTAATAAGTTGCTTTTCCTTTTTCTTTGGGGAAAAGGGGAAAGTGTTTTCCTGCTTTATGTGTCTTAAATGGTCAGAAAGTTTGCATCCACTTGCTATCAGTTACACATATATTTGTAATCAGCTTTGTCATCACACTGAATTGGCTGTGCATGCTCCTGGAGAAATGAGAGTCAAATTTGAAGAAATAGGGTCCTGTTCTTCCCTGTTGTAGTCAGATCAAAAGACACATTGAGATGAATAATAAAGTCCAAATCAAGAAAAGATGTTATAATTCAGATGATGTCCCTCAGACTCTGCCAAATTCTGGAATAAGGCAGATCTTCAGTTTAGTTAACAAAGAAACTACTTCTGAATTAAAGATAGCTTCAAAATAAATGTATGCTTCATTTTCGATTTGTTAGGCAGTTCGCCTTGCAGAAAATGGGCCACGGTTTGGGCCTCTGCTGGGTGAGATGCTTTCCGATACTCGGGTCAGACACTTAAATTATGTGCTTTTTCTTTTGGTTTTGTAAGATGGCCTTTCCCATGTGCTGTTCAGATGATCTCAATGGGCATCTCATTCCCACGCTTCCCCTTCCCTTGTTCTGTGCCTGCACAGAGTCTGTTTAACTTCTGTTCAGAGCTTGTGTTCGGGATATTTGTTGTTACCAGCTAGAATGAGCAGCCTGTATTGGAGGGCAGTGCAGCTTATATTTGTGTATGAGGTAGATTTATCTAGCAGCAGTATTTTCATGTTGAATGCTTTGTAATACCCATTCCACTGTCTTTTACACTGCTAAGTTCTCTGATAATGTATGTAAGTCCCACCTTCAGGTGCGGTCCTTAAAATTACATTAAGAATCCAGGTTACCACTTAGCACAAAAATTCTTACCTGGAAGGAATTTCCTTAATCATTTAAAGCAGAAGATAGATATTTTTTTCTTTTTTTAAGAGTGAAGTCTCAGAATAATATTAAATATAATGCATACATATCCACACATGCACACAGTGGAATTGCAATATGTAAACAGAAACAAATAAGTACAAAAGATCAAAGACTAAAAAATAAGGATACGTACATATAAAAGAACAGCTGGCAGCCAGTCCTGAAGCAGACTTGCTGCATCCTCATGATACCAAGATGTCAGTCCTGTAAAAAGGAACCTATGAACCAGAGTAGCTGCAGTATTAAACTTCAAACTTTCCAATACAGTTTGCTGGGAATGACACTAATGTTCTGTTGAATTCTGAGGCATTTATCTCCATTTTAGCCCTTTTTTGGTTCTGTGCCAGGAGTTAGCAGTCACCAAGCACCCAATAAAAATCTGCGAGCAGGTTATCAGTTCCGTGGGCACTGATATGTTCCACGCCTTTTCTGCTTTCACAGCCAGATGCAACTTCAGTGAGAGTGTAATCCTTCCTCTGCTTCACAGGCTTGTGCTGACAGGTTTGCTGTGTGCGAGGCTGTCCTAAGTTTATTCTGGTCTCTCTTCCTTCCAGGATGGCCCGCTCTCTGAATGAGTGGCTGTGGCAGCATGAGTTCTGGCTGCCCCCAGGAATCACCTGGGAGGACATGCAAGAGTCTGAAGATGTCCACTACCCTCAGCCTCGTGATCTCCTGCTCAGTATCCCTTTTGCTTTAATCTTAGTTATCATTCGATGTGCCTTTGAAAGGTAAGTTATTTAGTACTGTTTTGGATTTTTTAGGGATAATGCTGGCAGTTTGGGTCCAAAGCTGGCTTTATTGTCTGTGCTGATGTGTGACTGAAGGGGTCCACAGAAACTCCAGGTCATACAGTCTACTGAGGTACATTTTTCAGCTCTTTCTTTCCAGCCCTGTGTACTGGCTAAAGAAGTGCATTGAATATAGAACACAAGCCCTACCCTTAAGGTCTAATTATAAGCAATGTGACTTCCTTCATTTAAAACAGATAGGCCCTAAATGAGGTTTATGCTTGTGTTTGTGTTTTAGAAGGCAGACATACTGGTTTGTGTTCTGTTGCACATTACTTGCTGTTTCTGAGTCGAGTGCAGCAGAAATCATGTTTAGACTATCCAAATACAGTTAACTCTCTATCTTGGGTAATGGGGATCTGGGATATCGCACCTGGCAGACAAGCCTGAATAAGATGCATTAGATTAGACTGAGTCATCTGACCTCAGAATCAACACTGCATGGACACACCAACGTGTGCATGTCACTGACCGCTGCTTTGCGTTCAGGTGTGTCGTTTCCTTGGGACTGCCATGTAGAGATATTTGTAGCTGCTTCTTTCTGGCCAGAGCCATTTGAGTGTTTTGCATATACCTCTTCAGCACAGAAAATTTGGGAGTTACAGTAAAGGCATAGTGAGAAGTCCTGCAGGGTTCATTGACTCTGAGTTTCATAAAGGTCCTGAGCTGGTGCTGTTGCTTTATGCAGTTTAATCAATAGTTGGTGTAGTCTTCAATACAACATGATTTGCTGGTGGATAACTGAGATTTACCATAGTGTCAGCCTTTGTCAAGACTGCAGAGCAAGTCCCCTTTCATGATTTTGAATACTCTTCAAAGTGCTCTTCACTGGATTGAAAAAATCCTTATTCCTAGTTGCTGATCGAAGAGGTAATCTTTTGAACTAGTTTAGTCAAATCTACAGTGATTTTAAGCTTAGAAAGAGGGGAAAAAAGTCAATTGAAATGTTTTCCTCATCTGTTTTTAAAAAGTGCCTGCACAAGAAAATGGAAGCAGTCTAGAAAGATGTTTCTTCTCCATATTCTCTGTGATACAAGGACAGCTTGGAAAAGTTTATAGAAGTTGAAATGATTCAGAGCTCTGCTGTGAGAATGTTTTTAATTTAAAAAAAAAATTATGGCCAGTATTTTTACATAAACACAAATGTACGAATGATTCTTTAAATAATCATTTTATGATGATCCAAAATTGGAATCCAGATCTCTTCTTTGTAAACAGTACGTTTAGTGTGCATTCCATAAACTCTGTGGATTTTATCCTGCACTTTCCTGGGGACATAGGTGTCTCATTTACCTCCACTGGTGTGGGAACCAAGGTGCTGCAGGTTTTCATTGAAACACAAGTGACTCTCATTTCTTCTTTGCTGATCTGCAAGACATGGCTGGATACAGTACTCCTTCATGTAGGCACTGTGAGTCAGTGACTTGGACATATTTGCAGTGTGAAGCTGGAGATTAGCCCGCATGTCCTGCATTGACTAAGACTGTCCAGTTCCAGGCTTCCCAGTACAAAACATGAACAGGAAGAAGGAGGAGCCAAACTCTTCTCGGTGATGCCCAGTGACAGGAGAAGAGGCAATGGGTACAAATGGAAACGCATGATACTCCATCTGAACATAGGAAAATGTTTTTTTACTGTGAAGGTGGTCCAATATTGGGACAAGTTCCCCAGAAAGGGAATGGAGTCTCCATCCGTGGAGATACTTGAAACCCAGCTGGACACAGCCCTCCACAGCCTGCTGTAGCTGACCCTGCTTGAGCAGCAGAGGTGGGCTAGATGATCTCCAGAGGTTCCTTTCAGCATTGATTCTGTGCTTCTGTGACACTGTCCCTTTATTCCCCTTCCTCCTGCCCACTGCTTGTAGTCAATCTAAATGTCTTTTCCATCTGGTTTAAGATGCCAATGGCCAGGTAAGAACATTTTTTTCTTTCCCATCCAAGTGCTGCCTCAGCTGGGAGAGTTTCCACAGGCCTGGTCCTAGTCATTAATTTTAAAGCTGTTTTCATTCACAAACTTCATTAAATAAAAGCTTCTTGTCACACCCTTAAAACCAGATAGTATCACAAGCCCATTTTACAGGTCCAAGAAACCTATAATCATACCACTGTCTTGCCTATGCCAACTACAAGCCAGTGTTCCGAGATGCAGTCATTTATTTCAGCATGGCATTTTCCTATTCTCAGTCATTACTGTTTCACGTTCAGTTCATCCTGGAGAAGAAGGCTTCCCCTAATGAATGGGACATACGAATCAAGTGCTCTGTTGCTCCATTGCCTTGTGTGTACAGTGGTGCTATCCCTGTTTATTATAATTTGCACAAAGTTTGAGAATTGCAGACTGAAAGGATGTGTGTGTTATTTCTCATTCTCCATGTAGATGGCCTTGACTTGTAGCTTTGTACATCTGGACTGTGGGTCAAAATGAGTGTATGTAACTAGTGTACAAGTTTGGTTTTGGTAGCTTTAGGTTGGCCTCTGGCAATTTATTCTTGCAACTATGCGTTGAGTGCAAAGCATTTTATTCTCTAGATACACTCTGTGTTCCTGGTGGTGCTTGCTCTGGGATTTCAGAAATGCTGTAATGTGTTCATGTCATTTATCTGTGTCAGAACTCCAGGAAAATAATAGGAGAAGCCAGAGGATTTTTCTGCAATCCCTCATTCAGCAGCTGCATCAGCCACCGTAATTGGTTTGGAGATTAAACCTGGGAAAGACCTCACTTCCACGAGCATGAATTTTCCTCTCCTTGGCACCTGCTGGCTCAACTGGGAAAAACTGAGACAGTGACATCCTTTTAACAACCAGTTACTCTGTGGATTAGCTGGTGGCTGTGGGAAGAGAACATGTGGTAGCTGGGTGGGGCCTGGGAGAGCTGAGGAGGTTGTGGGTGCAGCCCTGGGGGAGAAGAAACATCTCACACTTTGGTGAAGCAATTCTTCGGTGAGCCAGTTTGCTTTGGGGAAGGTGGGAAAACAGGGTATTCAGTGCTGGAGAGCGGAAAGCTTGTTATTGCTGCAGTGCTCCTAGTCTTTGCCACAATACTGAAGCGAGTGCTGGGAGAGGTAGGTAATGGTGTACTGACAAAAGAGAGGACCTAGAAGTTGGGAACCTCTCCCCTTCCTTTGATGTTTCCAGATTGTGCTTGTGAGTAGGACATAGATCCTGCACCCATAACTTGGAGCCTGATTTTAAGCACCTCTATACCTTAGCAGAACTCTTGCCCGGACATATGCCTGCAAGCAGGGATGTTGGCTTCTCTTGTGGTTCTATAATGTTTGAGACCCTTTTCTGTAAAAATCAAATTCTTGGAAGTGCTATGATTATGAAGGAATCACAGCTTCTATTGCAAAGTGTTTCTTGCCTGTATGGTTAGGAAAATGTGGAAACTGAAGTGCTTTGAGGCATAGTAAAGCAGAAAGTTGAAAAACAGGATTTACATGCAATTTAATTATCTGATTTTGGACTTGACCAGTTAGTTTTGGATGTTGGGGAACTGAAAGCTGGCGTCAGTGAATTTGAATCCAAATAGTTCCCAAATTGGACTAGAGAAGTATTTGAGTCAGAAAGATTAGGTCTCTTCTTAGGAGGATTGCAGCAGTATGTGAGCCACGTGTTGTACATTAAAAGAAAGGGATACTGTTGATCTGCAGGTAACAGATACTTGAACTCAGAATCAGAAGAAAGATCAAAGAGGGCACCCTTTTCAAGTATTTTATTTTGAAATTTCTCTTTTTGAAATTCATTTTGCACAGAGACTTTTTTTGTTGATCAATAATCAGGAAGGACCTGAAAACAGCTTCCTATTAGGTCCTATAGGCAGTTTTTTTGTGCAAAGATGTGGGATGTGGTAGTATTTAATTGAAAATAGTGAACTGACTTGGCTCAGTTTGGACAGTAGCACTGTTGTGACTTGAGATCTTGTGGGATGTGGTAGTATTTAATTGAAAATAGTGAACTGACTTGACTCAGTTTGGACAGTAACACTGTCGTGACTTGAGATCTTGTATCAAACGGAACAGTCAGTTGAACTTCAATGTGAAGCATTCTCCTGTAAGCAAGAGGAGGTAGAGACTATTCCAGGTGCACAGGGATAGCCCTCTGCCGAAGGAAAGCATGAGGCTAAGAGAGATTATGCAATTCGAAGAATAGAAGTTCTGGTTGCTGCTCTCACTGGTTCTACATTTCTTAGTACTAGAAGATATTTGTAGTGTGGCACCCTTATAAAATCAAAAACATTTGTGGGAGAAGAAAAAAAACACACCCCCCCCAAAGTTAAATTATTTCTTGTATCTCACGCTAACTCCGAAAGCCTCTGCAGAAGGCATGTAGCCTGCCTTTGCAAGATGAGGGAGGATCAATTTATGCCTCTTCATGATTAATCCATTTAGTTTCAGCTTCAGCTGGTTTTGCGCAAGACAGTTTGTTCTTTGGTGAGTACTGAATAAAATGCCTTAGCGTGAAACCTTCCCGTGTAAACTGTGAAGTGAGAGAAGCTCACTGATGAAGAAGTAGGCTTGGTATGAGAATCATCTCATTGACCGTGTATTGCCTTCCCTAGCTGTGGAGAGTGGTACAGTTTAGTCCTCAGACTTTCTCCTTCTATTCTCCAGAGAGCTGACAACTGCTGTGATGACACCATCCCTGCAACTGAGGTGATGAATCTGTGATGTTGAAATCAGTACAAGCATCATCCTATTAGGGTTGTGCTTGGAGCAAGATTTAACTGAAAACTGAGTCAGAGCATACATCCAACAAGTACAAACATCCCTTAGGAAGAATTTCAGGCTTTGATTTCCCAATGATGTTCATGAAAGTAGGATTGGTCCCATAATTCATGATTAAACTCAAAACCTCAACAACAAAATAGTTGTAACTTTAGTTAATTACACCCTGTCTTCATCAACTGCAACTGGCTCATTTCTGTTACAGTGGGATTTTATGCCATGACCATAACAAACCAGCAGGAAAGAGAGAGAAGACAGGGATTAAACAAAACTAAGAAATCAATCTGGATAATTTAAATAGGTTTTCAATAAAAAACTTGTTGGCAACCTTCCCTGACACCTGACAGAAACATTCTCTTTCCTTTTAACATGTCTGGAAAATCTCAGACTTTTTAGTTCCCAATGTGGTCTGATAAGAAGCTGCAATAAGGTTATTCTTCAACAATAGAACTTAATTGCATCCTCCTCTTCAGAGGAGCTTGTATCAAATGACTTACCTTTAAAAAAGAAAGGTCAGGCCCACTTCAAGATGCTGCTTAATATAAGAACCAAGACCTAGTGCAGGGCTTAAGGTAAATGTTTTCTCAATTTTGGTATGGTTATGGATATCATTGAAATACTGTGTCATTGTTCTTAGCACAGGACCTGCTGATCCAATGTCACTGTTAACCCCTTTTATATTAAACAAACTGTAAGATAAAATGGAAACATTTCTTAAGAGCAATCAGAGCTAAAAAACAAAATTCCCAATGATGGCTATATTCCTCTGCCATCCAGAAGCCTGCTGGTTGCAGCAATGCCAGGGTGCTGCTGAATTTCACTGAAGCTAATCAACGCTTACATATAGCTTTTGCAGTAACTGTGTGTCTTGTTGGAAAGTACCTAGCAAGTACACTTACCCTGGCCATTCTCTCATGGTGGAAACATATCTTTTTCATTGGTCTTAGTTCATCTTTTAATGTTCATTTAGCCAGTGATGCCAAAGGAATTTCCCAGAGATGATGAAAAAGAACAACTGATATACAGGCTGGTGGGCTGGCTGTGCGAAAGAAAGGTGGAAATCAGCTGTTACACAAGTGAGCAAAATCTGTAATTATTCTGTGTTTTATGCCTTAATGCAATAAAAGTTACAACATTCCTTAGGCAGGTGGTCTGTTCATAAAATTGCTTTTGATACCTGTTAATTAAATTAAGAAATGTGTTTTTGAAAAGAAAACTTCCTAAAGACCCTTCTGGAAGGATGCTTGATCTAGAATAGTCCCTAAGCACATGCATATATGGAGTATAGGCTGTATGGCTAGAAGAGACCACAGGGAACCACACCATATAATCACAGTCATAAATATATCCCATACTATTTTATGTAAAACAGCTTTAACCACCTACATAGTAAAGTAGTTTCCACAGCTTTTTTGCTGCAAAGTAAAAAAAGGGGAAAAAAAAAAAGAAATCTTGTTCTGTGTCTGAATCACTAGGGATAACTGATCAGAGGACCTGCCTGAGCAGCATGAAGACTGACCCAGCAGAGTGGGCTTTGGTCTCAGCACTTGCTTCCTCTGCATGGTATTTGTTAGCTCATCACCACCCTCAACACTGATTTATAGTCGATAACCTAATAACTGCATGCCAGTGGCAGTGTGTAAAAGGTAGCAATTAATAAGGAACGACTAATTCTCCAGAAATTCAAGGAGAATGCAGTTAATTTGGGAGGGTTTTGTAAACGTTGATTTGCCAAGTTTCCTGTTTGTGCAGTGTCTGTGCAAGACCTCCCTTCACACCATTGATGAGGCTGTTGCCTATTGCCGAGGGAGGGAAGAGTGTTTGCAGTGGAGGAGTGGAATTCTTGAGCATAGCAATTCTATGCCCAGTTTTGTTACCTCTTGGTAACTTTTTTCTATTAATGCAGATTTTTTTATTTGCATTGTTTCACTGTGAAAGACTGAGGATGCACAGCTAGCATAAGCATCCATTCCTTGTGACTAGGTTTCTAGTTCCTGTGTCCTTATTTTACAACCAATGTTTGACTTGCATTAGGAAAAATGGAGGTAAGTTACTCCAGTAAAGACCAGGTAGCCTCCTGTTAAAACTCTGCATTAATACCACACATCTAATAGAGCCTCCCTCTTGATCCTGAGCCAAGTCCTTAGTTCAAGTGGATGCCATGTATGTTCAGTGTTCTAGATTGAGCAGTGAACAACGTTTAGGCCTTATCATCAATGTGGTACTCTGCATAAGCTGCAAGCAAGCCAAAGATGAATGATAGGTACCATGGCTGTCTCTGCAAGCCTGGGCTTTGTGCCATAATCCTGGACGCCCAAGCACAGTGGATTCAGAAGTTGGCAAAACAGGATATAGCATTTCCCAACCTCGTGTAATTTTGGATATTACAGCACATTGCTCAGGACAGTAGAATACATGTCCCACTGTCTCTGCTGTAAGTTTGGGTTTTTTTCTTCTCAGTTTCTTTATCTATCCTGTCTGCTTGATGTGATACTTGTGCTTAGATTCAAAATGTGGACGGCAGCTGTTATGTACTACGTTATGTTTTAACAGTACTGCAATGTCAGAAATCACCATTCTGTTTTTGGCTAAACCATTATTTTTTCTTTTGCAGAGCCGTAGCCCTGCCCCTCAGTACCAAACTGGGTGTGAGAGACAAGCAGAGACCAAAAGCTCAGCCCAACCCCATGCTGGAGACTTTCTACAGTACGTGCTGCAAGAACCCTGAAGAGGTGAGTCCTTTCTTCCTTTGCTTTCCTCTAGATTTAACCCTTGTGTTTTTAGCCAAATAAAATCACATTTGGAATCCTGAAGTTTGGTAATGCCACTCATACTTGGAAGCTCTAGCAAAGCGGGAGTCACTGTAGCACTGGCGACCTGACACCGGCCAGCCACAGGAGTCATTCTGGAAATGCTGTCAGTTCTGCTTCTGATCGTGTGGGAGTAGCAGATTTCTATAGGTAGCGTTCAAAAAATTTAAATCCCACACTTCTATGGGTAGGAAGCTGTTGTCCCAAAGGAAATAATGACAACTCCTGTTCCTTCTTGTGTTTGCCTTGTACGTGGCACAAACTGAAACACAGAAGGCTCTGTCTGAACATCAGGAAACGCTTTCTTACTGTGAAGATGACCAGGCAGTGGAACAGGTTGCCCAGAGAGGCTGGGGAATCTCCATCCTTGGAGGTACTCAAAGGCTATCTGGACATGGTCCTGGGCAACCCACTCTAGGTGGCTCTATTTGAGCAGGGGAGTTGGACCAGATGACATTCAGAGGTCCCTTCCAATGCCAGCCATTCTGTGATTCTGTGGTGGCTTCTTTTCATATATTAGCAAATCCCTGTCACATCAGCTGCCTTGAACTGACTCCCATGTTGCTAGTCCTTACAGCTCAGCAGGTGTGGGTTGCTTGATGCTCCTAGTTCTGGGGTGGGGCATTCTGTTGCTGTACAATCCATGAGTTTGAGATTGGCCTTTCAGGAAGCCAACTAAAGTCTTGGTCATCATCACAGAGATGTTAAGGAGCATCAGAAAACTTCAGACACAAATGGTGGGTACTTTTCCCATGAAAGATAAAAGGAGTGATTTTGAAGAACTTGCCAGGAAAATCCAGAGTTATAATTGCTGCTTCTGAGGGAAAAGGCCTTGGTGAGATTGCGAATTGTGAGGCAGTATTAGAACTTAACCTTGTCAGTGAAGTCACTGGATGTGACCCTTGTGATAGAGAAAGGAATCAGATTTTTCTTTCAGCTCCTTTTTGCAGGCTTTCTTGGCCTTGAAGAAATAGCTATTAACCCTTACCAAGGAGCAGAGGGCTGGGGTTCCAGTCCCAAGGGGTAGCACGAACACGTTGCTGCCTTGACAAGGCTGTTGCAGCATGGTTCGTACTGCAATGGGGCATCTGGAGCCCCAGGATGTTCAGTACCAGGTTAAAAGTAAAAGAATGGAGGCTGAATAAAAATTGAGGCATTCATCTGGGTTGCGCAGCCAGCCTTTCTTCCCAGCAGTGGGAAGAAGTGTTTTCAGGAATGCTTGCCAGTACAGTGGTCCTTGACCTTCCTCTTGCCTGTCTGTGAAATCTGCACATTTCTCAGTAAAACTACTGTTGCGGAGATCTAACTCAAGGCCTGACTTTACAAGCAGGCTTTCCCCACGGCTCTCCCTGCACCCACATTGCACTGAAGCCAGCACTTTTATCCTGGATAATCTGTGATACTGGGGCATGTCCTTACTATGAGACTCCTGACAGCAGCATGATGTGGAGCAAGAACGGTGCAACAGGCTGCTGCCTTTCTCTCTCTGTTCACCAGTTACACCTCAGCCAGTCTTCTAGCTTCCTCTCTTTCCCGTGCACTCTCAAACACCTGCTTATGAGTCAGCTTTTACTTGTCCAATACAAGACAAGATTTTGCTGATCTCAGCAACTTTCTCCTTGGCAGGAATTCCACATTATAGAGCAGTTGGAGAATATAAATCAGTGTCTCCATTTGTCTCCACCACAAGAACAGAAGTCACTAAGAAAGAGTAGAAATAAGCACGTCTGAAAATTCTTAACAAAGATACTTTTGTATAACATACTTGGACTATGTAAGTCACTCTCACATGATGCCATTAAGGTAAATGCAGGCCACGAAAAAGTATTTGTTTACTTAAAAATAAGGCTATCCATGGTGACACTTCCAGAAGGAATATAAAACATGACGAACTTTTTTCATATCACATGCCAAACTCTTAAGAGCCTAAGGACAAAGGGAAAGGTAATTGCAGTATTTCTGTGGGTAATCTATTGAAAAATTATCCCTAACAGGTTTACCACAACAGATAGATATCCAGCAGGAAAACCATGGTGCCTCTGCTCATTGCATCGATCAGGCTATTGGCTGATACTGCATCAGAATGCTGAAAGGCATGGCAAGATTTGGTGCAGAACTTTAAAAATTATTTAAGCTGCAGTAAATCTTTCTTGGACTGACAGATTTAAGGGACTTGGTCAGTGAAGACAGGGTGAGGAAGTGATTTGGCAACAAAATCCTGCGAGGAGACAAGACCACAGTTTGACAGTTGAAACTGGAGAAGTTCACATAAAAGATGTAAAGTTTCAACATTTAGCATGAATAACCAGTTGCTGATGGGGGGAATGGAAAGATTTTTCTGTTATCTGAGGTGTTTACACTAAGAGTGGAAAGCTTTCTGAAAGATGCTTTAGCTTGAACAGATTTGGGCTTGCCAGGAACCTCCAGCTGGGCGCTGTAGTGGGTAAGATGAGATGCCTATATTGCCCCTTCTGACCCCTTCTGAACCTGGATCTGAACCCCTGCTTCCTCACCTGTTTTGCAGGGTGAGCTGATCAGTTTAGCCAAACAATGCGACCTGCCGGTGAGGAAGGTGGAGAGGTGGTTCCGGCACCGGAGGAACACAGACCGACCCAGCCTGTCGAAGAAGTTTTGCGAGGCCTGGTGAGCAGGGGCCCAAGCCACGAGCGGCAGGGGCCTTTCACCAGAGCTAATCCGTGGGCAGCTCACTGCCTCCCAATCTGCCCTCCACCCCTACACAGAGAGCATCCTGGGTCTTCCCTGCCCTACCTGGTTCTTCTGCAACTCTCTGCTGCTTCTCTGATACTGAAACATTCCTTACTTTTCCCCTTTGTTTTCACTCCCAAGTCTCCTTTTACTCCTGTCTCACATTTATTCCTTATAGGGCCTGCGTTTCTGACTCTGTAAGACTGGCATTCTGTTTTGAAACACAGTTGTACCTGACAAACTCACTACTGTTTTGCATCTTACTGCTGCTTGCTGCTTTGCTGCTGTTTCAGTGCTTCCAAAATAGCCTTTCTGTTGCCTTTCCCATGACTTCCCTTTGCCTCACTGCAAGCTGATTGTTTCTGCTGCATCTTTTCTGCAACTTCTGCACACTGTTGCTTTCAAAAGTCACAGACCACAGGCTAGATTGTATTCTGCTGTCAGTTGACTTCAGTGTCCTGAAAGTCAAAAACCAGCACCCTTTTATAGTGGCGCAAAAAGGGGCCTATGTGAAAGCTTGTGTTTTCCAAAGAGCAAAACTCTTCTTGGAAACAGCTGTGTGGAAATCCTCCTTATTATGTGGAGGCATAAAATAAGTCTCACGTCAGCCAGTTCTGTGAATGTTAGTCCTGGCTAAGCTTTCCACAGAAAAGGAGGATTCTCCTGAGCATGGTTGAAATGCCTTACTTATGAGTGGCTGCTCTGCTATTCATGTAAGGAAGTAGGTTCTCCCAGGAAAGCCACAGAGTTGAAAGAATTCTTTAAATACTTGCATGCTATTCATCTGTCTAAAAGTATGTGTCCGTAGTGTAGGCGTCAGCTTTAAGCTAATCACCTCGTGCTCCATTTAGCACTCAACCTCTAATTCAAAACCCCTGCCTGAAAACTGTAACTGAAAAAGAAAAAAGAAAAAAAAAAAAAAGCAAACCTGGATGTGTATTATTTGTTTATAATATTCCAGATAGTTGCAGTTAGAAATATTTACAAAGTCTGTGGACAAGGAGTTGTAAAGCAACCATGCTTAATCTGCTTTCATCAAGATGAAATCTAAGTTCTCCCTGCACTCAACTGACTTGCAGTAAATAGTAAACTCTAACTACTTTTCTGACTCAGCTTACCAGGGATGGTGCCCTTCCACCTGTCCTCTATCACGATTTACAGTCTGTAGAAAAAAACATCTTTCTGATTTGACGTAGTAGCTTTGTAGAGTTTCTGTCTGTCCTGGAGCTCCTGAGTGTTTCATTGGCAGGTGGAATGTCTCTCTCAAAATGTAGTTACTTCTATTTGTTATAGAGATTTTTTGAAATTAAAGGACTGGTTTAGACAGTTTTACTCCTTTGAAGATTTCCTGTGTTTAGTTTAACAACTTGCTTATTCTGTTGGGGTGAAATTCCCCTCGTTCCTTACTATATGTGTGTATATTCAGTGTGACCTGCCTCTGTCCACTGAACTTGACAAACTGTTCATATGTACTTCTGTGTGGGTTTGATGTGGGTAAATCATTACCAACTCCTGACTGAGACCAAACATGACAGTAATTAATTACTTTACATGGTAATGAACTTAGCATGCCTAATATCTAAAAGTCTAGGAGAGAGATTGGCATTGTTTCACTTTTACCCATGCACATGCTAGTGCTGAGAAGGTTTGGGATGATTATCTGGGTGATTTTAGTTAGTGGGATTCTTGTATTTTCTGCCATCTCTAAAGCTGGAGGATTGCTCTTTGTGAAGTCTGTTGAATGTGCTAGTGACATGCAAAGAGCCACCCCTGTTATGATCTGGGCAAACTTTGAACGTATTAATGTATGTCTTTGCCTTAATAGTGTCATTCTTTGAATGAATGTGATTGATACACAGAATTGCAGCTTGGGGGTTAATGAATGGGATTCTAATATACTTTGTTTTATCTGTTTGTAGCTGGAGGTTTACATTTTACATCATTTCTTTCTTCACTGGACTTGCTGTCCTGTACGATGTGAGTACACAAGCAGTGCCACCTCCTGTTCTCCCTAGCCAGTGCCTGCAAGAATGGCAGATTTTGTTGTCAAACATGTAATTTCAGACCTTCTTCGAGAGATTTTCCTGCCAGGTCGGTGTGTATCCTCTGCACAGCACGCTTATGAGACCACAGACATACTGGGCTGTGCTTATTTTAAAAACTCCAGCTCGAAACCAAGAGGTTTCCTCTTCTGACAAAGCAGAAGACAACTGGAATTGTGTAAAAATACAGTTCTATGAGGTAGGAGATGGAATGCTTCCTGAGTTGGAAGCTGCAGGACCTGTTTGTGTGTTGTATCCAATACCTGTTCAAGGTTAAAACCTCAGGCTTTCTTTGAAGCATGGACTGCAATTTAATAATTTTATTTATTAATTTTCTTTTCCTTACCCAAGGTGTGATTGATTCAGGCTCATGCCTCTGCCTTTTCTCTGTTTTAATAAATAATGAGTTCTCTTGGTACAAATTGAACTGCCTCAACAGGCAGGAGAGGTAATAGAAGCCATACGTATGCTCTGATCGTTGAGCTGTGATCACTAAGCTGAGACTAGGGGCACCGGTCATTCTCTGGCTGTGTTTTAAAGGTTGCCCTGGCTCTCTTGCTGAGTCCAGTTCCCTATGTGAGCTTTGCAAAAGTCTTCTACACTGGCACCTGAGGGCTTAAGTAATGGAAAACCTACAGATCTAAGACAGCAGGCACAAGCTATATTTGTAACTTCTCATTATTGTAACAAGTGAAGAACTTTTGAACTTACACTGACTTTCAAGTCAGAATTTAAGGTGCTCTAGAGGTATGAGGGTTACAGGATGAGCTAGCAGAGGAGTGAAGGTATTTAAATCCCAACTGCAGTGTTTCGTGGATCTGTACATCAAAATAGAAGGCTATGCTTTGAGGCCAGCTATGAAAGTTTGGTATGGATGACCTTCTTAGCATAGTGCAAGAGCCCTGTGGCAACAGAAGGAGCAAAATCCTGTTCTTCTGCATGTTACCTGACCATTCTAGGAATAAAAGATCATTTTCACTTTTTGCAAAAGTCTTTCCTTTATTCAGTACACATCTTCCAATTTTCACAAAAAAGGGAGGCATCTGTCCTATGAACAGCACCTCTAGATCCCGTAGCATGTTACTCTGTTATCTAAAATTGTACCAAAACGACATTAAAAAGAAGGACAAAGAATTAATGTGACAGGGCGTATTTGCATGTCACATTTCCTGACTTTCGCATGTTTACTTTGTAATCTGAGTAGTATTTTAACATGCATTTGTTTTTGTGAAACGCCCGCCCTTCTTTAGAAAAAAGCAAATGTTTAAATTCTAAATTAGTAGCTTTAGACTGATAGCAAAAGCCTCTGCCCCATGAGTCAGTGAAATAGCAGGTAGCAATAGAAAGTTATCTCATGGTAGGCCACCAGAAAACAGCTTTATTTGCTGAGAATAGAGGAATGATGAAATTCAGGGAGCTGGGGTTCGTTTCTAGTTTAGGTAACACGATGTGCCATAGTTGTTTCAGAGTTTTTGCTTTGTCCTCTCTGATTCTATATCACACATCTCTCCTGGTTCTGTACCTGTATTTGCTGTAAATCCTACTCCTAACCCCACTCCCAATCAGCAGGAGACCGTGTCTACTAATTACCACTGCTCGTAAAAAAACACTGCTTCCTGCTTCCCTTCCATATTGCTTATGCACCAGCAGGTGCTCAGTGAGAGAAGAAATGTCTTCTTGCTCCTAGCTGTGATATCTGGAGCCTTGTAGAACTGTTATAGAAAATTACCCTTACAGACGTGGCGTAGAATATGTTCCATCACTGTATGCTCTAAGACATGCTTGCTCTGATCAAATCTGGGCACAGCAATGGGTCAGAGCATGCTCCATGCAGGAAGAACTTTTGGGGACTTTAGTTGCCATGTTTCTGTGAAAGTTTCTAAGCTGCCAAGTTCTAAACTACCAATTTTATATGAAGCGTGAACAAAGTAGGATCTTTTCAGAGGTTCATTACTTAACAGACTGCCGCATGATCCTCACTGTTAGAGGAAAAAACGTGTTCCTGACACTCAAGTTTTCAGCTTGCTTACCATGTTTAAGTGGTGTTGTCCAAACCAGAGATTCTTAATGAAATAGTTTAAAGAATATTGTAATATATTCAAAGCATAACCACCAACCCCCCCAACCTTGTAGAAGGCTGCAACAGTTGGTAGAAATCTTCCCTGAGCTATTCTATTTGGAACTGGGCTAAACAGCATGTGAAATTTCAGTGCAGTAGCCACAAATTGGCAATGTCACAAGCAGCTGCAAGTTCTTGTAGTGGAAATCTCTTGGCAACTGAATTCCAAACAGCGCGACCAGCTCTGTGCCTGTAATAAAACACAAAAAAGTCTGTATAAAAGAGTTAGACAGTTGATAATAGAAGAATTCCTCTGGCATTCTCACATTCATGTTGCATTTTCTTTCCAGAAGCCTTGGCTTTGGGACCATAGAGAGTGCTGGACAGGATATCCACAACAGGTAAGTCATGCAAGAGGGAAAATTACTGTTACAAATCATGTATTGACTTTCCATGTCTTTTGAAAATCAGGTTATATTAGTGACAAAAGAGAGGGCACTGGATTAAATTCAGACTCACGAGCCCTAAGAATTCAAAGCCAGATCCTCGTGAAGGGAGAATGTCTTTGTACCTGGTGTAGTCGAAACACAACAGAGGATGAGTCAGGAAAGCAGGAGGAGACTGTAGAAATAAATGGGAAAGTGAGAGTTCTGACCAGGTGAGCCAGGAAACTGAAAAATGGGAGTGCTCCAAGCTTGTTTAGTTTGTAGAAGAGACTGAAGCCAGAGAAGGACATGTTACCTGAGGAGAAGAAGTGAAGACTTCAGTGGAGTGTATGTAGAGCAGAGGACATGCTCTGAACGCTGTGTACTTTCATCTATATGGAAGAATCACAGTTCTTCCCAAGGAGTTTGTTTCCCAGTGGAACTGACCAGTAGCGGTACAGCATCATTCCCATTAAATTCAGAGGATGCTCTCCTACAGTTTTACAATGTATATTCTGAGTTTTTTCTTAACAGCCCTGTGAGAAGCTGTCCACTGGATTTGAAAGTGTACATCTCTTATCAGCCCAGACCAGAATAACCTCAATGAAAATTGCCAGCTAGGCATAAAATCTGCTCCTTGATCATCAACACAAGGAGCAAAGATAGCAACCAAAAGCCAGGTACTTTTTTGTCCAGCTGCCTCCCTTGCTGTTCCTACTCCTATTACTTGAGAAGTTCAAAGAGTTAGGAAGGGGCTTCACCCACTGAGCACAGGAGCTATTACCTGCTCTGCCTTTCCCCTTATGTTTTATGTGCTCTGAATTCTCTGGAGAAGGTGACTATTGCCTGTTCTGTAGCAGGAGCCTTCCTGTATCACACTGCTGTGGATTCTAGAGCAGACATAGCAAAGAGAGCTAAATTTCATTAAAGTGAAAAATCTGATTCCAACATTGGAAGAGGTTCCTCTATCCTATGAGAGCAGCTGGTAACTGTTTCTAGCAGAATCGTAATCTCTCCTGTGTTAGCATTCAGGGAGCTACCATGGATTTCACAGTACTAGAATTTCCTGGGTAGGAAATAAAATCTTTCCTTATTTGAAGAAGAGACTGAAGGAAACTTGATCCCAATACCAAGACAAAGTGAAGACTGCCTATGTTCTAGGGATTTTTGGTCTGGCAGTCAAAGTTGGAGCAAGACCCTGTGACTGTACATCGAGGTTGCAGACCCATAAAGAGAAATGTAATGCACAGTTTTAACAGTGTGAGCCACAGGAAAAATAACAGAAGAAATGAGTGAGGAATGAGGTAGTATCTTTCAAGCTGGGTCTCCAAACAATCTGCTGTCGCTCAAAGGCAGAAATTTTAGGGGCAAATCTGTAGTTCAGTGTAAAAGTCAAGTCATACAAACAGGTGGTGCTTGAAATGGAATGTAAGACTAAAAGGATCACTCAGGTCTTTGCATCCTGTTCTGTACATTTGGACTACACATCTTTTCAAGAACAATCCAAGCCATCATAACAGCACACTGGGCTGGGTTGACCCTGGCTGGCTGGCTGCCACATGCCCCCCAAGCCACCCTGTCTTTCCCCTCCTCAGCTGGACAGGGAGGAGAAAATACGATTAAAGGCTTGTGGGTTGAGATGAGAACAGGGAGATCACTCACCAGTTACCATCAGGGCAAAACAGACTTGTCTTGGGGAAAAGAATTTTAGTGCCAATCAAATCAGAGTAGGATAGTGAGAAATAAGAACAAATCTTAAAACACCTTCCCCCCCCACACCTCCCTTCTACCTGGACTTGACTTTGCTCCTGATTTCTCTACCTCCTTTCTCCTGAGCAGCACAGCAGGATAGGGAATGGGGGTTGGGTTCAGTTCATCCCCCTCTTCCCCTGCCACTCCTTCCTCCTCACAGTCTTCCCCTGCTCCAGTGTGGAGTCCGACCCATGGGAGACAGTTATCCATGAACCTCTCCATCATAGAATCATAGAATCATTATGGTTGGAAGAGACCTCAAAGATGGGTCCTTTCCACGCAGTGCAGTCCTTCAGGAACAAACTGCTCCAGCATGCATCCCCCACAGCATCATGGATCCTGCCAGAGGGGAATCTCACCTCCTCCCCCTCCTTGTTCATTGAGCTTGGTGTCTGCAGAGTTGTTTCTGTCACATATTCTCACTCCTCTCTGCCAGCTGCTGTTGCACAGCAGTTTTTACCCCTTCTTAAATTTGTTACCACAGAGGCACTAACACTGGCACTAATGGGCTCAACTTTCACCAGCGGCAGGTCCCTCTTGGAGCTGTCTTGAACTGGCTCTGTTGGACATGGGGCCAGTTCTCCCAAATAATCTTATCTTTGAGGGAAAAAAAATCATTCTGATCCAGAGGTGGATCAGATGAGCCTGGACAGGCTGGATAGATGGGCCGAGACCAACGGCATGAGGTTCAACAAGAATAAGTGCCCAGTCCTACACTTTGACCACAACAACCCCGTGCAGCGTTACAGGCTGGGGGAAGAGTGGTTAGAAAGTGGTCAAGACGAAAAAGACCTGGAGGTGCTGGTCGACAGCTGGCTGAACATGAGCCAGCAGTGTGCCCAGGTGGCCAAGAAGGCCAATGGCATCCTGGCTTGTATCAGCAATGGTGTGACCAGCAGGACCAGGGCAGTGTACTGGGCACTGGTGAGGCCATACCTCCAGTGCTGTGTCCAGTTCTGGGCCCCTCACCACCAGAAAGACCTTGAGGTGCTGGAGCGAGTGCAGAGGAGGGCAACGAAGGTGGTGAAGGGTCTGGAGCACAAGTCTGATGGGGAGCGGCTGAGGGAGCTGGGGGGGTTTGGTCTGGAGAAGAGGAGGCTGAGGGGAGACCTGATCGCTCTCTACAACGACCTGAAAGGAGGGGGTAGCCAGGTGGGGGGCGGTCTCTTCTCCCAGGCAATTAGTGACAGGACAAGAGGGCATCGTCTGAAACTGCGCCAGGGGAAGTTGAGGCTAGAAATGAGGAGGCATTTCTTCACAGAAAGGGTCATTAGGCATTGGAGTGTACTGCCCAGGGAGGTGATGGAATCACCATTACTGGAGGTGTTAGAGAAGACTGGAGGTGGCACTCAGTACCATGGTCTAGCTGACAGGGTGATGTTAGGGCAAAGGTTGGACTCAGTGATCCCAGAGGTCTCTTCCAACCAAATCATTTGTGTGATTCTGTGAGCTACTGTTTGGATAACCTCCAGAGTGTGAACAGCACATACCAGCCTGGGAGATGTTAGTATCTCCCCTGGTAGCACCAGTGCATTCAGCTGTGCTTCCTCTTGTGGTCAATCACTGGTGCTACAAAGGAAAACAAACTAAAATCTATGAAGGCCACAAATCAACACTTTGGGTGGAGAAAGCCTAAATAAATTGGGTTTTGGGAGCACCATACTCCATGAGTCTTTGGAAAAAGCCCTTTTAGTCATAGTAATTTTTTTTTTATCAAATAGATTCAGGTTTAAGGAGGCCATGTAGTGGCACAACAGCAAAAAATCACTTGTTAAATAGCACATATCTTGCAGAGTGAGTCTAAGCTTTTCATTTTCTAGCTGTAAAACCCTGGAAAAATTATCCAGAAGAATGCAAATTTCTGTTCACACTGGGATTGCACTTCATTAGTTTAATTAAACTGAAAATTCAAGGTGTCTGAAGCATCTCCTTGAATCCTAAAAAGGGAATGATTTATTTGGCTACTCCTTATCTATTTCACCATAGTGAAATGGTTTACATAGTTTTTAAAGCTCTATACTGACTGCTCTGGAATCTGCACAGTGCTGAAGAAATCCTAAAAATATTCAGGATGTTCCCAGTGGTTCCCTAAATGTTCCACAGCAAAATGGAATTTCCCCTAGTACTTGCTTTTGCTCAGCACAGATGACATTTAGTAAATAACTACGTTGTTTGGTTGAAGTATTTCCCCCTGAAGCTGCAAGAACCAGTTTTGTTGGTTTGGTTGTCTGATACTCTTTTGCCTAGGAAGGAGTCTTCACTTCCAGCCCTTGCTCTACTTTATCTGATGAGTATTTCACTGTCTCTCCCTCTCTCACAGCCTCTCCAACCCTCCCTGTTCTGGTACTACCTGCTGGAGCTCTCCTTCTACTGGTCACTGGTCTTCACCCTGCCCTTTGATGTGAAGAGGAAGGTGAGTGGCAGCCTCAGGGAAGAATCAAGCACGAACAGGACCCAAGCTGAACACTCAGGAGAGTGATCTCCATGAGCACATGTGTAGTGCTAGTCTGAGGTTCTGGGGGACTCTGTCCTTGCTCAATCCCAGGAACTTCCTTTCCCAGTCACTGGCTTCCCTCTCCTCTGGGAAGTGGAGAACACAAACCCTGACATAGAAAGGTGCAAACTACTGCAGAGGTCTCAATCCAAACTTAAAATCCAAACTTAAAAATTGCTCTTCTGGAACTCTTCTAGGCTGCAGTGATCGTAGAGACAGGAAAAGAGGTGATTCTCTGCCAGTTAAGCTGCATGTGTTCCTAGGTGCCGGTGCCCTGGCAGACAGGGTGCGGCATGATTACGTAGGCATACATGTGCATTGAGGCTGTGAATATACCCCTATAAGTAAAGGGTGGTTGTGAGCCTCTGTCAGTGAGCCTGGAGGTATAAGATGATTCTGCAAACAGGTAGCCGTGCACAGGGGCACAGAGCAGAGATGGATATGGGCACTGCTTTGTGACAGGAAGGACGTTCTTTTTCTGTTGAATTTGTACTGAATCATTGGCTCTTCTGTCTTCTGATTTGCACCATCACGGGACCATTACTGATGGTGGAAGAGAGTGTTCTTTGTTGTGAGATCCTCAGTTGACACCATAAACTCTTCATTCCTGGGTCTCTTGGTTGCCTACATTTCTAGAATGTGTTTGGTAAAAGTTATATGGGTAGGACCTTATAGTGGGAGATTTCTTAGTCATTGGGTGAAGAGATTTCATTACTACCTGCAGGAGGCATGTTTTAATCAGGGTGGAAGGTGCATTATGTATTTTATTCTCTGCTATCCCCTTTCTCATCAGGATTTCAAGGAGCAGATAGTTCATCATGCTGCAACCATCTTCCTGATCAGTTTCTCGTACTGTGCCAATTACATCCGGATTGGGACACTGGTGATGGTGATTCATGATGCTTCTGATTGTTTCCTAGAGGTGAGCTCCACGACTTACATGCCAGGCAAAGCCTAGTTAGCAATGGTGCTCTTCAGCCAAAGGGTGTCTTTTGATCTAGCACAGTATGGGCCAAGGATTATGGTATTTCAGAGATAACTCAGTACCCATCTCCTGACCCAGCCTAGGGTGCCCTGCAGAGCGCCAAGAAGAGGCATGATTACCTGCATGCAGATTGTATCGTATCTGGCTTATTTGCCTGCTGGAGCATGTGCAGATGCACTGTCTTGGCCTGCTGTTTTATTGTTCTTTCTCCTTCCAGCCAACTAAGATATTCAATTACATGAAGTGGAAAAGAACTTGTGACAGCCTCTTTATGATCTTCTCAGCTGTTTTCCTCATCAGCCGCCTGGTCATTTTCCCCTACACGTGAGTCTGCTAGAGTCAAGGGAAATGGAAAAGCTGCCTTCTGAGAGACAGAATAATTCAACTGCGTGCTCAGTCTTTTGCTGCAGCCTTTGCTTTTCAGTCCTTGAGCATATGTCCCCACCCTTCGCCTAGGCTACAGTGCCACATGGCTGTTACACCTGCCTTGGGGTAAACTTAGGGTGATCTGCCTTGGAGTTCATAGAGTAGTCTTAGACTCCTGAAGTATACTGCAGAGGAGTCATCCTTGACCTATGGCTCTACCCTCCTTATTTCTGGTGGGGAACTGAGAGTTGGCTCACATGTATTATATATAAGAAGGAGGTCACTGACCTGAAACTTCCTCTGTGACTAGAGCTTCCTGGGGCTTAATTACGGCTCTAATAACAACACACTTTCCCTCCATTGCAATTCTCTCTCTCTTGCAGAGTGCTCTATAACACCTACTACTACTCCATGGAGATTTTCCAACCCTTCTTTGGATACTACTTCGTGAATGCTCTCCTGATAATTCTGCAGCTGCTCCATGTCTTCTGGTCCTGCCTAATTATTCACATGGTCTACAAGTTCATCTTCCAGGGCACGGTATGGATCAGTTTGTAGTCCCCTGTACATGACATGGAGAGGGAGGGTCCACCTAGACTGCTTGGGAGCACAGGGTTTCATCTGGGATGGATTCCTTCTTGCCCTAGTGAAATTATACATGTACATTCCTAACAGTGAGGTGAAAGGAACACTCAATATTATTAGGGAAAGTTGACCAAAAAAAGTAAAATTTTATGAGTCACTACAATATTGGGTCCACTTCTGATGCTTGTATTCAAGAAAATGCGGATTGGACTCCAGGGGAGATTTCCATGAACAGAGCCAGTGACATCTGAGTAAGGATCCCAACACTTGGTCCAGGATGATTTGAATCTGTAACAAAACTAAGAAATCAAGGCGGGGAAAGTTGTGATTGGTGAGGCCAGTGGAAAAGGATTTTTAATTACAATGTTACTGAAATCACAGAATCACAGAATGGCTGAGGTTGGAAGGTACCTCTGGAAGTCTTGTCCATATTCCCTGGCTCAAGCAAGGTCAACCTAGAGTAGATTGCCCAGGACCATGTCCAGACAACTTTTGAATATCTCCAAGGACAGAGATTCCTCTCTGGGCAACCTGTGCCAGTGCTCAGTCACCCTCTCAACAAAAAAGTGTTTCCTGATGTTCAGAGGGAGCCTCCTGTGTTTGTGCACGTTGCCCCTTGTCCTGTCACTGGGCACCACTGAGAAGAGCCTGGCTCCATCTTCTTTACACCTTTCCTTCAGGTATTAATATGCATTGACACCATCCCCTTGAGCCTTCCCTTCTCCAGGCTGAACAGTCCCAGCTCTCTCAGCCTTTCCTCATGTGTGAGATGTTCCAGTCCCTTCGTCATCTTTGCAGGCCTTCACTGGACTCTCTCCAGTGTGTCCATGTCTCTCTTGTACTGAGAAGCCCAGAACTGGACACAGCACTCCAGGTGTGGCCTTTCCAGTGCTGAATAGAGGGGAAGGATCACCCTCCTCGACCTGCTGGCATCATTCCTCCTGATGCAGTCCAGGAAGGGCAGGGGCACATTGCTGGTTCATGTTCAACTTGCTGTCTGCCAGGACGTCCAAGTTTTTCTTAGAAAAGCTGGTCAGCCCCCAGCATGGTGCTGGGGGTTGTTCCTCCTTGAGTGCAGAACTTCACACTTACCCTTGTTGAACTTCACTAGGTTCCCTCTCCAGCCTGTCAGGGTCCCTGTGGATGGCATCACAATCCTCTGGCATATCAGCCACTCCTCCCAGTTTTGTGTCTTCAGCAAGCTTGTTTAGGATGCGCTCTGCCCCATCATCCAGATCATTAATACATGTTTTGTATGAATTGTCTTACAGTGCTGTAGATGTCTACAGAGTAGACGTTTCATCTAAACTAGCTGTCTGGACTCTTTTCATAGCAGTAGAGGTAAACAGACATGCCCAAAGCATAATCCATTCCAGATTGCAGCCGGGTAGTGCTGTTCATCTCTGTCAGTCAGAGAGCAACCCTAGATTAGTGTCCGAGATGCAGCTGTATAAACTTCAGTGAAATGCATCCCAATCTTTCTGACCATAGCCTGGAGTATTTGCTGTGAGACCAAACTGCTGCTCAGCATGAAATTCTTCCCAAAATCAAAGACGTGACCTAATGGCATTAGATTAGCCACATGCTAAGGACACAGTCCAGGAGTAACAAGTCAGTGCCTTGTGGGAGTTGACCTCATAACCCAGGATGAGTTGTTCTATTAGTATCCAGCTGGGGAATTCTGTCTTATGGGAACTGCGAACAGGCATTAAAGGCTCATCTTCATCCATATTGTTCTCATTCTCTTTGTCTGCCTTCCCTTAAGGTAGCGCAGAGCAAATTACTTGCAAACTTCACAGGGCAGAAAATGAAGACGCAACTGAAGATGCCCTTTTATTGTTTTCCTAATTCTGTGGACTGAATTACCATTGTAGTTATTACAGTGTAAAATGATGAGGTAATAAATAGCCTTATTAGAAAGAAATGACCCACCAGGGACAAAAATACTGAAGCATATCCAGAATTTTTTCTTATTTTGTCTAAAAATTATCTGCCACATTTGATGCAAAAATATATTTGAGAGCTTTCCATATTGAGTGGTGAATAGCAGAGAGATACTATCCTAAACAGATCTGTTTCAATGATGATACTTAGTAGCCCAAAGCAGTATCAGCAAGAATACAACACATTTTCCCCTTTTTGAGAGCATGAAATTCTTGCTCCAGTTAGAAATTCACATTCTTCTCATGGGCCTTTCTGATCTCCACAGTTTTCCTCTCTGGCTACAGGATTATCTGTACCACCTTCTCACATGATGTCCCCTAATGCCCAGTAATTGGAACTCAGCCTGAATCCCGAAGTACGAATTTCATTCCCTTACACAGGCAACCCGAGATACATCATTGTAATTCGTGCAACTATATAGTTCCTTTGTGAATCTTGCTAGGTTTAAGGCCTCAACCACATTCTATGGCCATGAATGGATAAACTTAGGAATATTGATTACTATTTGTCCTTATGCTGCAGATCAAGACTTCTGCATAGTTCCTGAACTGCCAGTTCCAGAATGACATGAGGTCCAGGTTGCTCACAGAAGATAGCATGTCCTACCCATATTGTCCTTGGAGGCAGTTTGAATTCAGTGCAAGTTTAGATTCTTACAAATCCTGTCTGCATTTGGGTGTAGTGATCTCTAGAAAGAGCATCAGACCAAATAGACTTCTTAATATGATTCAAGAGATATCCCCAGAAGAACAGACAGAGTAAATACGGATGTCCATGCAGCAACTGACATGCAAAGCTCAGGTCACAGAGGGGATTTGATGCTTTCCCTCAGAGCACTCTTTCAAACAAGGAGTGTGACACTGTGAATTTATCCCCAATTTTGGCATCTTGTATTGCAGAGTAGAAACAGCCTGGGAAGCCAGCAAGTGCTAGGCTGCTTTTTGTAAAGTGTCGTTTTATCACATTCTTTCTTCTTTGTCTTCCTTTTAAGGCAATGAATTAAACATTTACAAAAGTGGATTACAGATCTCTCAGTCAATAGCAAGAGGAAAAAACCTGAACATTAAACTGAATGTAATCAGTGGCTTTGTGTTGAGCTATTGCTTTGTTTGAAAGCATGTGCTTTCAAACTGTCCAAAGCAGTGTGCTTAGTGTACAGCCACCCAGGCCAAGTGTGGTAGGAAGCTGTCTCCTTGTCCCTTTTGGAAAATGTAAAAGAACTTGATTAACTGCCTCCCCCATCCTTCTTCCACATGCTTATGCCCAAAGCAGCAATGTGGATCTCCTCAGTCTTACATGGTTGTCATCAGTCCTGGGCATCTGTGGTTTGGAGCCACTTCTGAACCTGTACAGTAATTCCTAATGTTCATCAAGATCACAGCTAGGATTCCAGTGAGACTGAAATCAAAGAGACAGAGAGAATCTGTTTCCAAAAGTCATGTGAAAGCTGAAAGGACATGGTAGAACGGTTTGCCAAAGGCAGGTGGCTGAAGTAGCAGATGAATGTTTAGCCTGTGGCTCAGCTAGCCGTGCTTCTTGTGCAGACTTCTATAGTTGTATTGCTTCTCATTTACATGTTTCTGTAGATGGAAAAGGACATGAGAAGTGACACAGAAGAAAGCGACAAGGATGAAGAAAGAGAAAAGATTAGGGAAAAGGAGAAAAATGGGGTCACATATTTCACCAGCGTCACAAGCAACAGTTATATCCAGAGGAATGGGTCTGAGCCACTGAACAACAGAACCCAACTCACCAATGGCCATGTCAAGGAAAGATAGCTACTGTTCACATCCTTCTGATCTGGTCTTTGATGAATCCAGTCCACCGTCTTTAGAAACAGTTTTGCTCATTGTGTAGTTAAAATGGAGTGGAATTGCAGTATCATAGCTGAATTCCTGCCTCCCGTAAGTGGAAGTGTTCATAGTCAGTGATATTTGAAAGAAGGTTTTGATCTTTCTTCAATAAAAGCTTACTATAGGTTGTAGCCTTGAAGCAGATAGAAAGGGATCAAAGTGGTTTGAATTGTATTAGACTGTACCATAGTTGTTGTTAAATATGTTAATCTTGAAAAATACTTTAAAAAAAAAAAAGGTTGATAAACTCTGGCAATGTCAAGTCTTAACCACCTAATGTTTGATAGGGATCTGTGTAGCCTTGATCAGCCTCTGGAGACCCTGGCCCATTACCACTAATGATTATGCCTAACAAGTAAGTGTGAGACTCTAAATCTTTATAGAGGAACATCTCTTTTGAGAAGGCAGGTGCCCCATACACACTCAGAAGAAAACATTTTCTTCTCCAAGGGAATGCTGCTGTGTGACATATGACCAGTTTTGTAATGGTATGGATCTCAGTCCCTTCTGTTGTCAGCATTATTGCCACAAAGATGGGAACTCCAAAGCCCAGATTGGAGAGATTACCCAGCCAAATCATAGTTGGAAGAGCTGGAAAATCCAGGCAGCTGTGTCTCAGTTGTCAGGTAATCCTTTAAACCTGTCTTGGAAGGAAATACAGTTAGAAGGGAGGTGACGAGAAACTGGATCATCTAGAAGACAACACTGATTAAGTGCTCATGTTTTCACCTAGTGTGATTGGCACAGTGGGAAACGTTTTCCGAGTTGGCTTGTGGCAAGAAGGGAATACATTTCCTCTATCCTCAGAGGAAAAAGGATCCAGAGAAGATCTGCTGAACCTTATGGAATAATGCTTTAACGTGGCCTTCTAACTCTGGGGCCTTTGCGTACATGTATCAAGAATAGCAAGTTTAAAGCAGTAGTCCATGAAGTCATGATGCAGTTCTGATTCAGTTTGTTTAGATGTCCTATATCTTACATCCTGTGTAGTCTTGGACTTTGGATTCTATAATCCCTTAAAAGAGTTAAATCAGTATGACTTGAATTTCTGTTTTATGGAGCAATTAACGTGTGAAACCAAAGTATTAACAGATTCACTGTAATGAGTGCAGGGACTTAAGACTGCCAAGGCCATGCTGATGCTTCCCTATATGTGCCCAGTAAGGGCCAATGCTAACTGGAGGGGGACATGGACCAAGGAAATGCCTGATTTGAGGAAGTGGTGCACATGTTTAAAAGGCAAGTGACAGTATAGAAGAATAAGAGGATTTTCAGCAATCTGCTCAGGTCACCTGAGATGTGACTGAGACCTCTGATCTCAGCTTGTATGTGCTCATCTTAGGTTTCAGTCAAAATACATTGGATGATTTCAGAGGGGAAAAAGTGGTTCCAGCACAAGTGATTCCAGTAACATGGTCTGGGAGGAGAGCATCTGTTCCTGCATCGTCATTTAAATTCGTATTTGCTGAAGACAGTTTGTCTCTGAAACCTTGAGCTAATTTGAAGTTCAAAGTACTTGTTCTGTATACTGTCATGTTTCTTTAATCCAAGTCTACAATCTTGCCACTCCTCTGCAGGTGATGTATTCAGGATGGATGGTTATATATAATTTTGTACTACTGAATGTAAGTGTTCTTTATAAATTACTTTTGAAAGTTTGATTATCTGGGCTCTTTTCTGCTTCTTTAACTAGCAGGAGGTAACCTGGCTAGTTGCACCTTACAGGTGGATGTGTGATGAGGGAGACACATATGGGTGCCATTGCCAAGGTCGATACACATGCAGAGCACATTGAGAGGATGTTGTGTACCCAGGACATGCAGGCATACTGGGCCAAACCAGTAGAGAACTGCAGCTGCCTGCTTTGTCTCCTACTCAGTAAAGCTGCATTTGGCCCTGGAACAAGGGACAATTTGGGGCATCCCTACACTCGACCTAGGAGTGGGCCAGGTTACTTAGCACTTCCAGGGCAATGGGAGGTCCCAGATTGCAGCACTGGGGTGATGCTTTGGACTTGCAAGGATAAGAGGAGAGAAATTAATGTCTATTCTGCTTTTTCATGAGGTTTTAGAATGCTAGGAAAGATCCCTGTTGTAAAATCATAACACCTGTCATCTGAGGAGCAGAATGCTTCCCAGAGACTGCATAATGCACTGTGGAGCCAATGCAGACGTATGTTGATGCCTGCTGAATTTTTTCCTCAGGGCTTTGCTGACCCCCTGAAGTTTCAGATAAGCTTATTAGGAGGCAAATCTGGTTCTGGTGAAAGGATATATCTAAGGATTCAGGAGAGCTGTTGGGCTTGATTAAGAACTACTGAGTGCTGCTTTTGTCTGAGGAACTGTGCATGACAGTAATGAGTCACTGGGGCAGATCAACTGCCGAATTTGTTTTCTTGCCATCAACTTGCCAAGGCTTAAAGAAGCTCTGTGTGTAATCAGCTTCTTCTCCACATTGCTACACCTTCCCTCTTTATGTCTGCTCCAGTGTTGGGAAGTTTGTGAGTGCTGTGATAGTACTTATGAATGTAGTGTATCAACTCCCTCCACCCCCAGCATCACAGTCCCCAGCACAGCAAAGCTGTTGTAGAAAACCTGCAGCCAGACTGTCAAAAACCCAGCAGAGTAGATGGAGGATGAGGCACCACAGCAGAATCTAGATCTATTTCCCCTGTATCTTTTATCACCCTGTGTGCACACACAAGGTGTGCATCACATAATGGTGTCAAGCAACTGTAGGAGATGAGGTGTGCAGCTCCAGGTGTTACCCTAGGAGTCAGTCGGAAGAACCTTCTAAGACTCAGTTTGGAGTTTTAGAAAGCAGACATTCCTTTATTGCAGCACTGGATGCATGGGGATCGTTCTGCCTAATGTCCATACCGATGTGATTACAATTCGTGTATATACCACAAAGTTACATACATATGCATAGGAATTCCTGGAATCGATATACATGGTCATTCTACTTCTTGGAACTGATTACCATATCGGCATACTCATTACACATGTGGTTTAAGTCTCTGAGGGGCTTCTTTGGGGTCTCTGGGGGTCTCTGAACCCCCTCTAGTGATTGTCTGCTCCATGACTCCTTTCTCAAAAGTTCTTGCTATGCATGTTCAGTTCCTTGTTCTTGCTTAATTGGCTCTGATCTTTTCTCAGTCCCTGAGTCTGTAACATGTTCTCTTGGTAAGCCCACTATTTGACAGGGTTGTTCTTGTTTCTTGTTCCGTTATTCACATATATGATACTGCGTTCTCTAAACTACGCAGGCTGAGCAGTACTATCAGCTAAAAGTCAGGATGTGAAGTCTTCCTCCACGAGTCTGTGTCATAGACAGTTTATTTTATATATGTATCAAGTCCCGCCTTTTCTTGAGACTTTGAGCACATACCATGGCTCAAGGTCTCCCTTCTAGATTATCTTGCGTATCTTACTCTAAAGCATAACTGATGGGAGAAATGGCAGCATTGAATCATTAAGCCTGTGCATCCAGCACTGCAATAAAGGAATACCTGCTTTCTCAAACTCTAAACTGAGTCTTGGAAGGTTCTTCTGACTGACTTTCATGGTAACACAGCTGAGCTATGAAAAAAAAAAAAAAACCCACACTTTTACTGGTGCTCTGAGGCTGCTGTGTGATGGGTGAGTCGAGAACTGGCAAAGCATGGCCCCCAGGCTGGCATCTGGTCATCCTAGCTCAAAATTATGGATGACGTGAATCTGCTGACTCCAGTAGACGTGGACTTCTAGTGCTGTTTTGGGTCTTGTTTTAAGAGCAGTTTGGTACAGTTGTTCCCTTCCCCCTGCACACACTCGGGAAACATCAGAGATGTGCATCCACCACATTTTTTCATTTAGACATCTGCACCTCGAGGAACCTTTACTTGGATGGCTACACTTCGAAAGACATTGCTTCAGTTATTGTCACGTGTACAACAGACACAGTGCCTGCAGGTAAGGGCGTCCCTAAGAAACAGCAAGGCATTGTTCAAAAAGCTGAAGTCATGTCTAAACAAGGCAAGTGGTAAGGACCTGTAACTTTGCAGGTTAATGTGAGCATGCAATAAAGCAGGCCAAGAAATATCAAGAAACAACTTGAAAGGTGTCCTAGTTTGGCTAAAACAGGACCATTTCTCCTTTCAGTAGATTTTTCCTTCAGTTAAGTTTTTCTTAAGTAACTGCACCTTCTGAAGGTGACTACATGCTTTTCAGGCAGTGCCTGCGTTTAGAGTTGATGGCACTTGATGTCTGTAGTTGTTGCTGGGGTCGAAGTGGGATTGTTATGCAGAAAGGCCCACGGGGGTGCTCGTTCCCTGCAGGGTCTTTTGTGGCCCATGTGGGGGGAAGGCGGATAAGGGGTCACATCCCTGGGAAGCTGCAGAGGGGACAGGTGACCCGGGCCTGGCTAATGCCATGTTCCATCCCACCCACGGGAATACTCGGTATAAAGCTCGGGGATTGTGGGGGTCAGCCCTCTCTTCCCCTCACGGCCAGCATCCCAGTGGGGCTCTGCTCGCTCTCCTCCCGCCGACCCTGCGGTGGTCCTGCCGTCATCATCAGGAAGGGCAATATCGGGTTTGTACATTTCTATTTCTATCAGTAGTAGTATTAGTCGTAATATTTTTACTCTTTTTCGTCGTTACTGCTTTAAGTTTCCAACCCATCAGTCTCTCTCCCTTTTCTCCTCCTTCCCCTTCTAAGAAAGGAAGGGGTTAACAGAGAGCATCTGCCACCTGCTTTACGCACCACCTAGCCTTAAACGGTGACACAACTGTGGAAAACCATTTTTTGTTTCAAATCATCTTGTTAACAGAAAAATTGAAGAAGGTTCCAAGTGGGAATGTGTGGCGCTACAGCCATCTGCAATCTGACATCCAGATTGGTCAGACTGATAGAAAGTGTAATAAATGATGGAATTTGTGGAAATGTATATGAACATCATATTATAGGAAAGAGTCCCCATGGGCTGTGCATGAGGAAATTATGTCTTACTCTGCTGGAGTTATCCCAAAGAGTCAGTGAGGCCATGCAGAGGATTTTTTGCA